TGACTGGACTACTGTAAATGCGAAAACGTGCGTCCACCAAGTCTTTAAATGTCCTCGGTGGACTCGATACTAACGGCGCTGTCGTATCATTGGTTACAATGCTCTTGTAAATACTGACCAAAATGAAGCTACCGAACATCCACAGAATAATCAATTTGTCTGAAGCGGGACGTCTGAACATTTGTTTTAACGTGGAACCTGGGCCTTCAAGGACGGTTAGGCCGACATCTAACCAAGCCTTAATGAACACATTGACAAATTCGAGCCAACGGAGAGCCAACGAAAGATGCTGTCCAATCAAGAGGACCGTTACGACATTACAGAAACCTAGCAAGACGTACCAGACGTGAGGCGAGAATGGTTTCAAGTAACCCCAATAGTCGAGCCGACCTTGTCTCAAGGATGCACAAGTGACAAAAGAGAATGCCGTATTCCTGACCAGAATTAAGGACATATCCAGCATGTCAGCATCTGGTGAGAACGGCATGAAGGGACTCGTGCTATCCATCATTACCGATATTGTCACCAAACTGGATCCATTTCCTTCCAAACTAAGCGACATATGAGCAAAGGCAATGCTTAGTGCATCGTGTAATGAATACCTTTTTACAGTGTCGAAAATTACCAAATTTTCTACATCGACGGGACGTATTTTGAGGAATACCATCATATAAAAGTCTAATCGAGCTAGTTTTGCGCATTCTGTGAAAACTTGAAGTTTGAGATTCCCCGGCAATCTTACCCCACTGCAATATTTGATGAAGTTTGCTTCCGCTAAGTAACAGTTTTCCATCGTTGTGTCAGTTTTTTCGTAATATGAAATATTAAAAAGACAGCCTGTCTAAACACTTGAACAGTTTTCCCTGTATGTTTGGCGTATATATCGGTATTATTTGAAAAAATAGTGATCAGAGTGGAACCAAAGTAGGAAAAGTATTTATGACGCGGTTTCATGGCACTGCTCGTAAGTAATTTTGGGGAACTGAATCTCACTGACTTTTCGGTATAGTCAAGGACGGCTTCGTACTGATGGGTCAATTCGGGCTGCACGACGATGACATAGATCAGACAGTGGGGTTCGGGATGATGGGAACGAAATATGGGATCAATGGGTTGAAAGAGTAGATTAGATTGGGTCGTATTCGATCTGAAAGGAACAAACGTACATACACATATATTTGCATATGCTTTAATTTTTAATACGCAAATAAATATATAAACTCGGCAATACACTTTCAAAATTTGTAGATTTACAAAGCACTACCCCAGGTTTACAAAGGCTACGAAAGGAAATCAGATTACACATCTAGCATAACTTTACATATTTTAATCTGGTAAAAGTTGATAACCAAATTTTACCTCAGTTATACAAAGTTTACTACGTTACAAAAACCAGAGGGAATGGAATACATGCATTTTTAAATAGCTTACCCGTTATAACCGTGAACCACGGGAACATATTTTGTTAGCTGGTACGGTCTTTGTATACTCGATGGAACGTGAAAAGCTCCGAAGTGAGAGATGCTTAATTCACAGGAAGGAAATAAGTTTATTTTTTTCTCAAAGTTCAAAATTTCATAGGTACCTTCAACCGAGAAGGATAGAGGCATTTTAATGGAGAAATAAATGTATGCGATGATAATGATACGTATAATAGTTCCCATTTAAAAGTTAAAACTTGTCAAATATTGCCAGAATGACAGACTTAAGTACGCGTGAATTTGATGTCAATATATTTTCCCAAAATTGCAAAAAACTATGATCCGGACAAAAAAGTGAAATGAAATGAAAGAAATGAAATATTCAAAATCTCACTCAAGCGAAACTTGCTGGTTCCCTACAGGCGATATGTAGCCACGAACACGCATATTTTAGACTGTACAAAAGCAATTAACTTATTCTGAAGTCGAAGAGCATATTTAAAAGTTGTTGATTTTGCATAAATAAATAACTTCGTGGATACGTAACTGAAAACATGAGAAGTGTCGTGTTACGGCGTTAAATTATGCATGTACTCGTGGAGGATACTGATATTTATTCATATCGTCGTTGACGGTGCATTATGTGCTACATAATATTTACATGGCTTGTATTTCCTATGTCTCCTGAATGGATAGTACCGTGGGAGGGACGAAACGGTCAAAAAATCATGAAGCACATGCATATGTACTTAATTCACCTTCAACGACGATATGTACATAATATAAATATGTACACATACATAAACTTGTGCTTTATACACTAGTTTTTGAATATATAATCAATATCTTAATTGTGTACTTGTAAAACCAAATGATGAATATGAAAAATTTTACATTGAGTATACATACATAACTTTCTAATGATACGAAATTTCATAAAATTTTTTAATGGGAAACCATGAAATAAAGGGCAAATGCCCTACATAAATTGTTCAATTAATGAATTGATTAATTGAGATTAAACGGCAAGTGTAAAAAGATGTGTTAAATCTGAGTCATTACATATCTCTCATTTTAACGAACCAACTTGTACAAGTAAATATCTCTGTACTACGAGAATCAATGTCAGTTTTTCATGTGTGGAAAATTATTTTCCACATATGTTATGTATGGTCATTGCTGCATATTTTCCGAAAATATGCAGCAATGACCCTTAGGAATTTAAATATGTGTATATAGTTTGTTTTTAACTCGTTACAACTTGCATTTATTATACAATACTCACTTTAATTGATAGACATCTACCCATATTGAACTGGTTGATATTTTTATCCGCATCTACTCGGAACTAAGCAAGTTATGTTTTTCTAAACTGAATTTCCTTGCAAATAATTACATAAACTCATCCTCATGTCTTTACTTGATGGCATACATACATGTGTACATATTTCGTAGAATTAGTTACTAGCGTTATTATATGTAACAAGCTTAAAAATTTACAGTCTTCAGTAATAGTTAGGTATGACTTTCCAAGAAATGGTGACTACATAATATAAATAATATACATACATATTTTGCTCTAGCAAACGTAATTGATTGCTTAATCAATCTGAACACACCACTTAATCGATTTCATGCCATATCTCGATGAAATTTAAAATGAGAATAAAAACACCCCAGTCAGGCTTCACTTGTACCATTTGTTCCAGCAATCAGTAACCATCTCCGAAGTTTCCAAAGCAATTTCAAAAACATTTCGAAATGGTGCTTCTCGATACTTGTATAACGTCATCATTTGACCATTTCACTCCCAACTTGAAGACCAAAGACTGCCTCCCATTTAGTCAAATAGTGGAAGGAATAGAAATTGCTGAACATTTCAAAATGCGACCATCCATCACCCCCTTTATGACGCCTTGGCTAAAGGGACCCTGCCCCTTGAAACTTTCAAAGCCTTTATTCAACAAGATCACTTGTACGTGGACAATTTTCTCAGCGTATTTGGTATTTTGGCCGAACGGGAAACGCATCCTGAAAGAAAGAAATTTCTTCAAAGTGTAGCCGGCGAAGATTGGGAACCACTTTGGGACGGATTTTATGCCAAATTCAACTTTTCCAAAGGGGTCCACATGGTCCCCGCTGTTTTGGGTAATAATTCAAAGTAATTCAAAATATTATTTTGCAACTAATTCTATTCCCGCAAAATAACAGAGTACGCCGTTTATCAACGTACGTCCGCCAAGAATTCCGACATTGCCATCGCTCTGGCAACTTTTTACCCAGCCTTTGAAATCTGAAGTCAAATGGGAACTAGACTCGCCGCCATTGCCGACCTACCAAACAATCCCGATCATCCTTATTTCGAATTCATCTCCGCCATTTCGGACGGACTTAATGCCACCTTGACCCAAAAATTTATAGCCGTCGTGAATGAATACTACGCCCGATTGGGAAACGATACCAAAACGAAGAATAAAATGTTACACGCTTACACGCGAAGTGTCCAGTACGAGTTTAAATTTGCCGAGACAGTCTTTGCACTAGAAGTCGAGTCTAATCCCGCCCCAACGTTTACTGATTTGGTTGACTCTCATATTGCCCCTGACGCCCAGGCGGAAGTCGTGAACCATGCTCTGTTTCGTGAAATCGGAGCTGGGACACTCCCGCTGGATCGGTTTGCCGTTCTAGTGCAACAAGATCACCTTTATATTAATGGATTTTATGGCGCATTCGCTTACATGGAGGGCAAAGAAACTGATAAAGAATTGAAGCGTCTTCTCCACAAGGACTCGGGCCTCATGTATGATTATCTTGAGAGGCTGTATGATAAGTTTAACTTCCAACCGGCATATTTTGCAGAAGGATATACAAAAGGTAAATATTTTAGGAAAATAAAATTTCTAAAATAGCGAAATTTTTAGCGGTATTTAGCATAGTGCAAAAAATACTACCTGAGTAATTTGCTTTCATTAAATTTTTGCAGTCTACCTGGACCACATAATTTCCAAATCGCATAACGCCTCGATCGCTGAAGGTCTTGCTGCCGTGTACCCGTGTTACTCTTTGTGGAATCAGATGCGTCAGGTGAGCAAATTGGCCAAAAATGTGACCGGTCCACATCCATACGCAGAGTTTTTCCGGTTTAACGACCCATCAAGGAGCAATAACAGTTTGGCAGCGTTTAAGAATCTAATTAACATATATTTTGATCGACTTGAGGGGGATTTGGAAACAAAATTCAAGATGTTTCAAGTCGTGGGGGACAGTATCTTGTATGAGGGGATGTTTGCAAATGGGGTGTATAAAATGGGTCAGCCGCAAGGATTTTAATCTATTAACTACTATTAAGTATTATTATTTAATCCACTGGGTATTCATCATATTTTGCATTAGCTAATCTGTTATTTTAAATGAGTAATCATATTTAATTCAAGTATTTCTGTAACTGCTTAGATTGTAGTGTTGAAAAATGTTTATTTTGTTATTTTTCATACTGCCAATTCATAAATTTGGACGATGAAATAAACATGTAAGTTTCTAAAAATAAATGCTTTCTAAAAAATAAATTCAGACGGAACATTTTTTTTTAATTAATGATATTTTATTGCAAAATCACCCAAGGTTATTGTACGGCTAATTATTACTAACACTGTCTGAAAATTGGTTATGATACGCTAAAATTACTGAATACTTACATATTTATTAACATATGTACCTATGTACATATGTTTTAATACATGTGCATGCAGTTACTGCACTGCACGAAAAACTTTCACCCAAATGTCAACTCTTTTCAGTGTATGGGTCATCATCACAGAGTTTTACCTGTAGTTGAATATCATGCCAACTACAAGTAATCACTGTGATGTAGCCATAGACTCTTAACTACTAATATTAAGTCACATTAACGTGTGAGCAATTTATCAAGTTCTTTATCAATTATTTGAGGCAGAGAGGGTGACCACCCAACACGGTTGCTATTATTTGTTATTTCTCCATCACATGCGAAAGATAAGGTTCCTAGAAGAAGTGTATTTTTACTTTATGAAATATTTTTGATGTAAGTATGTATGTCTTTCTAGTCTTTTAAATTTTCACTTTTAACATATTTAAAGAAATCTGGTATAGTCAGGCAGGTATTGATTTCTCAGTATTATATAAATTGCTACCGCTTGGTATTAAAATTAAACCCGTCCTTAAAAACTTGCCACCGGTATGGTAAAACTTTAATACCGAGCAATTACTACATATCAATACCATTTTGGTAGAATTATATATGAATACCGCTTGGTATTAGTTTAATACTTGATTTCTAAAACTGTGCTTTCTAAGTCAAGTAGGAAGACAAACTACAATACCTCATCGGTAAGAGTAAGATTTAAGTAGTGCATAATTTTGAAGTTCATGGTTTTACGAGTTTTTTTTTGCTCAGAACATGATAAGTGGAACAGTTATCATTACCCCGACTAAGCTACGGCCACAAAGTCTTACTCTTTTTATATGTGTATGTATTGAACTTGACAAAATTTTACATTTCCTGACTGTATTACTGATAAATATGCACTTACATACATACTTAACTGGCACAATTTGTGACTACCATTTTTACTCAACTATTTGAATTCCTACCCCCCAATCAACGTTAAATCCCCCGGATTAACGGTACTAATGTGCAAATAAGTTATCCAATAGATCAAATTAAAACAAAGGTAGCACACGGGAAACACGACTCTCGAGTACTTATCAATATCCGACGGCGTAATTCCACAAACCTGGTTTGGATTTATGGGCAGAACGGGTCTTATGGTTTGCTCCGGTTTTGGCAAGCATCTATATTCCAGGGAATTATTCATCTTTTTCCTGTTCTCCATTCCGCCCCCGTCGTCGCGTCGTTTTCTCCCCAACGTGGCCGACCTAACCGGAGTGTCCCCACCAGCACCACCACCGTAATAATTCCCATGTGGTTGCTGCTGCCCCTGCCCGTGGCGTAAATTGTATTGGTGGGGATGATGCGAAAATGATCCGGATGTCGGGATCGGATTTGGTGACCGGTCGTGCTGCTGATTCCGATATTCTTCCTGTTTCCGGTAGTACATTAATTCCAGCCTTTGATTCACAATTTCTTCCTGGCGTCGAGCTTCCTCTTCGGCCTCGCGGCGTTTAGCGATCAATTCGTCAGCCATTTTTTAAGAGAGGCGAAATGGTTGACGCGACGCTGAATGTGTTTCGCGAGATAGCCGACGGTAGCGTATTCTTTTGGAAATTATGATGGAAATATTTAGTAAGGAATTATGTAAGAAATTAACATGAAAAGATGGTAAATATCTAAATATTTACCTAACAAGGCGGCGAACACCATTAAGAAACAAGTTCCTAGGAATATATCGATACTCTTGACGTAGCTGATTTTTGGCAACTCTTTGTTTACGGAACTCATGAGCGTAGTCATCGTAAGGACCTGTGTAGGAATGAAATTGGCAAATATTTAAGAAAAAATCCTACTAAATACTTTACACTAAATTGTTTAAAGTATATATGAATGCAAATTTACTGTAGTAATTCCAAGATAAACTCGAGCAGGTGCCGCTAAAATAGGTAATTTATCAGGTAATTTACCTATCATGTAACCACTTCATATCTATCTCGAAAATTTTTAGTGCAACACTTCCTCTCACCGTTACGATTTACCCAGAATGATACCCAGGAAATGCAAACGATCAGCATACTTGGGATGTAGATCTGAATTAAGTAGTATCCCATTGACCTCACGAACTGAATTTCACACGCCAATCTTGAATAGTTTCCGGTGGAGAGGGCAATTTCGAAAGATTTTTGTCGAAAGCCGAGCACTTTGAATTGTGGGAGGGAAACTTCTTCCGACATACCGACACTTCCAGCCCCTTTTGCCCACTTGTAACGAATATCAGCCATGGTATAGCCAACTATGTCCGATAATAATTCATTATTTATTTATGCATGCAATAATTTCCGATCAGAAATACGTACAAGATTCAATCTCAATATTGCAAAGCTGTGAATCCATAGGGAAGTATTTAAGATCCATGGCACACGTGGCAGTTACCTGATTATATTAAAATTATTGTTCTTCATATGAAATCGAATTATCATTTTGCTTAAAAAATTGCTACAAACCGTTAATCGCAGCGATCTTGTTATATCGCCTTCGTTGGAGATTCTCAAAAATTCATTTGAAGTAGTCGCCGTATGAAAGTAGGATGTCTTCTCATTGACAAAAAATGTATCTGATAAGGTAAAATTTTCATTCAATATATCAAAAAGTTAAATGTCTTCAAATACATATTGACGGCATTCATCTTCGCCTTACGGCATTAATATTCTTCGTATCGTAAAATAAGTTACGACAGTAACGAGATTTTATAACCGTCGTAAGATTTTTGTCATCAGAAACCACGTCACTAAGGTTACCATTTTAGGAAGCATAACCCTTTTTTCTCGTAAACTATTTTATGATACGAAGACAGTTGAATTTTCCATGAAATGAATATGTTTTACCTGGCACCCAAATTTGCTTCAGAAACTCACTCCCAACACTGAGCGTTTTAACCGTTTCCGGACCACTAAATGCGAGGCGAGAGTCCTTCCACATTTGGCGAAAGTAGAAGTCCAAGGTAAAGTCCTGTATACATAACCAAAAACTCATATAATCTTTAAAAATTCTCATTAATTTCTGCACATCGAATATGTATGTACATGTCTCACCATTAATACTTCACTTATCGCACTTAAACTCAACACGTACAGCGTAACGCTGCGAAACAATGCGAAATAATTAGAACACTTAAATTCACTCATATTTTTACTTGATCAAAATTCTGAAACATTCAATTAAATAAATCTCATCGAGTTCTCACCCAACTTCCACCGGCTCATCTGTGAACAAATACATGAGCAAATTTTTGCCATAACTTTATACATAAACAATTGAAATATTATGTAATATAACCTCCATAATTAGGCCGAACCCGTCGATCATACTTTTTCGAGAAACCATCCAAAATTCCCGTAATATTTTTCGACAGTAACTTCAACTCTTGATGGGACGGATATTGACCCGTATTTCGACGCACTCTTCCCCGATATCCTCTCCCCTTGTGGACAATCCTCTTGTACCGGGTCGTCGTAACGGGATTGATATCCCGTCCGTAGGGGAATTCATTCGCCCGAATTTCCAACTCTGGCCCATGTTCTCGGTTCCAACGCCGCGAATAATTTACGTGTTCATGTCGACTTAACTCGATGTAGTCAAGCTCCACGAGTCGCACCGTTCTCTTGGCACCCGCAGAAAATAAGGACAACAAAATGTAACAGGCAAAAAGTAAGGGTGACCACATGCAAGAAAATGTAAAAGATGGAATTTTAAAAGTGCTAGTGAGTGAAAATGGAAGAGAAAGCAAGTGCAGAAGTGGAGGAGTGAAAGTCGAGTCACTACTGGTGGGTGAAAGTGGAGGAGAGAGGCGATGTTGGGCTGGCTGGCTGAGATTGTGGGTGAATATATAAGAATCTTTTTATATGTGCATATGTACACTCTTAAAAATCTGGTAGAGATTCAGTACTGGTAATAACTTCTTACCGGATTGGTAATAGTTGGTTTCTGAGTCGTAAATTTTTCATTACCACAGCATTACTAAACGGTTATGCTCGTTATTACATACATACGATGCCAGCAGAGTTATGCATTCCGGTCAGTAAAGATTTGGTGATAACTTCCTACCTGACTGGTAGTAGTTTTTTTCTGCATGGTAAATTTTCCATTACCACAGCATTACTAAACGGTAATCCTCTCATTACCATGCCAGTAGCTTTATGTACACATGTACTCCGGTCAGCACTGATTTGATACCAGTTTTCTAAGAGTGGAGTTACATACTGGGCTACGTGTGTATGCTCTTTGGCTGCATTTTACCCTATACTCCTCGTATTTACGTATGTGTGGGAGCGTGTGAAGTGGACATGACTTTCTCCACCAGACCCACTTTCTCTTTCTCCTCGACTTTCTCCCATTCCGCGATACAATGCCGGAATCAGATCCTCTCTCAGGATCCGTTTTGTGTGGCACTCTTCCAAACTGGGAGAAACAAACTGCAGTGGTTTGACTTGGCTTGGTCTAGTCTGTCGACGAAGAAGAAGAATACGATGAGAGGAAATAAATTGGGTTGGGGATTTGGAAAAGAGGTCTCGGTTCGGAGTAACGATCCCACATTCTTCTCGAACCTTGGCAATAAATAACTTTCACTTCTCGTTACATAGGATAAGATAGAATTAGTTAGTTGTTATATGTGCATATGTACATATGGGAAAAGTTGGGACGGAGCTGCTGCATGCTTGGATGGGTGATGATTATATACATAAATGTATAATAATGGATGGCATGATACAAAGGAATTTGCAATGTTTGGCAGACTAGCTGAATTTGTTTCAAATATAGAAATTTCGCGTGAGTATAGACGATAAAATAAGCCGCAGAATTGTTCTATTTAATCGTTAGAAGTATGAATTGTATCGCAGAGTAGAGTACTTATTTACATCTTATATTTTTAAAAAGCTAAACGACCAGCGCCTCACACAATTTCCCTATCTGAAATTTAATTTAAAAAACCTATGTCGTCGTCTTATAGTAAAAATATCTCCTCCAGCTCTCGACCGGCTGGAAGAGATCCTAAAATTGCAGCAACATTTCCACGCTGTACTGCAATGCTCATCCTTTGGAGGAGAAAAGACGTTGCCCTCTTCTCCTCCGTGACGATCGTGATCCTTGACCCGATTTCCTTGATAAGGGACAGGCCCTCTTTGCCCCACACTCCTATCGTTTCAATGGCTACAGGAACAAAGAGGAACCTGTCCTGGAGGAACTCATACTTCTTCCTCTTGGCGTCCCCCGCCTTCCCGGCTGCCGCACCAGGATAAACGCAGGTTTGAGGGAGGTAAGACGGTGCAAAAGTGTCCGAACATGTAAAATCCCATACCAGGGGTCTCCCTCTCGCCCAAGGGATTAACGTTAGCCCGTCAGGGCGCTTTCCGTCTTGTCGAGAGCAACCTGGTGGCTCTTTGATAGCTGGGGCTCCCGCAGTTCGGAGCGCTCTCCAAATCACGTCATTTGCCGCAGTGTGTCGCGAATAACGACCTGCGCTCCTCTTACACTTTAAGCCATGATAGCCTTTTGTTGTGACCTCCGCTCCACATGGGCATTTATGAGGGTGGCACACGTCGCATCCAAGGCGAAGCGCGCAAGCGACTCGGAACGTCTCGTTGGGGAGTAGCGTCCCTAGTTGTGGCGAAGGGACGGCATTTAGCCACGCCCCCACATGCGGCTGTCCCATAGCAAGGAGGCGGGCTTTATCCTCCGGTGTAGGTGCACCATTCTTGAGGTGGTTGATGGCGGCCTCCTGTTGAGGCTTCTCCCATGCAGCCTGAGTACCCCTAACTTCGAGCGGGGGTAGTTCCGCCGGCCCCATAGGGTTCCATCTCTCCTCTCCTTCCTGCTGTGCGGTGTCGGTGCCATGGAGGTATGGTGGCAGTAGGCGTTCCACGAGGGGCAGGGCGCTGTAGGCGGACGCTAGGAAACACGGAATCGCCACGTCTACAGCACGCCTGACCCCCGGCCACCTTCACTGACCGGAAGGGAGGACTGGAGCCAAGATTGTGGGGAAAGGAAACAGTTGAGAATCCCCTCCATGGACTCCTTAAGTTTGGCGTCATAGAGGGTGAGGGAGTCAAATCTCCGCCAAGTGGGAGCACACCGCAAAAAGTAAATAAGCCGCGGTGTAGAGATTGATGCTCGAAGGAGGAAAAAGGCGGAGTGGGAGGAGAGATCGAGAAGTCGGGCCCCAAGTGTAGCTAATTGTTCGGCCTTCGCCCCCAATACAGCCTCGATCGACTCGTCAGTGAAAGGAGCACCCAGGAGTACGGCGGCTTCGGGGGAAATCTCCTGTATCCCCGGTGCTGCCCGACGAAAACTCTCCAAAATTTCAAGGCGGGAATGTTCGTCGGCCCCTAGCACGCCCACTTCACACTTGGCGGTGTTCAGGCGAAGACCAACTTCCTCCCCCATGCGGATAATGGTTTCCAGCGCGACCAACACTTTTTCTGGGGTGTCCGCTATAGTGGCATCGTCCAGATACCACAGATTAAGCTCTGCCTCGATTGCGAGGACTATTGGCTGGACGACAAGGGCGAAGAGTGCGGGACCTACCGGGTCCCCTTGTTGGGCCCCGCGGCGGGAGGAGATGGGGGTGTCCCCAAAAAATAGCTGGGAAGGCGAGGAATAAGCCTGTGACACAAAACGAAACATTGAGGGGAACCTTTCATGGATAATGTTAAGGATTGTATCCCGCCGTATCTCATTAAACGCGTTGCAGAAATCCACTTTCAAGAAAACCTTTGCTGTCGTATGGGCATATCCCCAGTAGATGCGGGCCGCGTGTGCCGCTGCTTCGGCACCACCCCTTACCCCCACCCCCAGTTGATGAGGTGCAAGGTACTCCACAAGGTCGGACGACATCCTCTTCAGCGCGATTTTGGCGGAAAGGCGGCGCCACACATTTCCTACCGCCACGGGCCGAATCCCGCCAGTTTTCTTCTTAAGGGCGGTTAGAGAAGCTCCGTAGAAAATGGGACAGAATGAGTCTGGCACACCCCCGCTGAGAACAAAATTTGTAAAATTTAGGATGGCCTCAATTAATTTTTCACCCACTTCCCCCTGCTCCGTCGCGAGAAGATCTTTAAGAATTTGCGGGCGAAGGGAATCAAGGCCTCCCGCTGACCCCGGCGGAAAACTTGAAATAGCAGTGGTGATTTCTATCGGGTCGACCGCTGGTGGTTCCGCAGTTAGTTGGTGGCTCGGGATATTCCGCAGGTTCTGGGTGTTGCGGATGCTTAGCGATAAGTGCATCAATTGTCTCTTGAGTCCTGGGCGCTATCGTGTCATCGGAACAGGCAAGCCTTATTGCCCCCGGATATCACCATCCGCCAGTTTCGCCTCCACTTTCTTTGCCACACTTTCCATCTCTCGAGGGGGCTTGGCGGGAGGTCGTGGGAGTCGTGGCGGTGGGGCTGCCTGGTCCAACAACCACCGGGCAACTCCTGACTTGACCCACGTCGTCAAATTCTTGACCTTATCGGTCTTCTGGGGAACGGGAAGGCTTACGTAGGGGAAAAGAAATAGTTTGCCCCATGCCTCTTCGGTTTTGGTGGTGACCACCTCCTCCAAAACCTTCGTTAGGGTACGAGCAACTTCCATTCTCGCCCCTTTCGGAACTCGTCGCAGCGTGGGTGTGGTCATCTTGAGTCGAGCCAAGACTTCCCCCCAATCTTGTGGCACTGTCTCCCCAGATGGTGGTGAGTCGACCCACCTAATGCCTTCGAAGAAGGTGTGCGCGTCTTGCCCAGTTGTTCGACGACTGATAACTTCGGGCAGCAACTCCTTGATATATTTTCCGAGGGTGGTCTCGGCGACACCACCCTCTCCCGACTGATCCACAAAAATTGCATAGCGGGTGAAAACTTCCGCCTTCCTTATTCGCGAGTTCCGGTCCGGAACTAGGGAGTGCTGAATCCATCGGCGAGCGGAGGCCAATGTGTCCTTCTTCGTCACGCCAGAAGATGATGGCGAGACCGAGGTTCGGCGGCGGGCAGGGACGGAAAGGGATGAGGTGTCCAACGGAGCAGGACTGTTGCTTGTAGAAATTGAAGGCACGTGGGGAACAGTATCAGATATAGTGGCATCCTCTTCTACGTCCCCGATCGCAGTGACACGATCCATAAGAGATTTTCGGGGTCGGCCCCTCGGTCGTGGTGGCGCTGACGACGTGTCGCTCGGTGGTTGTGATTCGTGGTCGGGAGGATCCCCCGAAATCCCGTCCCGTGACGACATGTCGAACTATTGTGGGCCCTGAACGCGAAGAGAGGCCAATTGGACTCGCACAGGGACAAGAAGAAATATTAATGTTTTTGGCTTATTTTAGTGAATTTTTTCTCCAAAGGATAAGTGATAAGTGAAGGATAAGGATATACTCTCCAAAGTGAGTATAGATGTACATACATATGTATTATGTAATTGACGCGAGAAATAAGATGTGCCCATACATACTTAGTGGGGGCAGGCTAAGTGTTAATAGAATGAAACGCCATAGCTTCAACAGTTTTTGTGCTACAAGGTTCTAGTTAGTTTTATTGGAAACCCAGTTAATTTCTGAGAAGAAGACAATTTTTAATTTTCGAAATTTCCTCCCCCAGCATTAATGCAGTGCTGAAAAAGCCGCCTGCAGTCCTCCGCTGAAGCACGCACTGATTCCTGGACAAAGTGTTCCATTCCGTGGTCAAAAATTTTTTCAGGCCCCTATACTTCTATGAGGCTTAGACCACACCTTTGCCCCTAAGTTTGACCACATTTCACATTCCGGGTTTTAAATCCATCAGCGAGGATGACCATTTTAAAGTGGAGAAGAATTCCGGAATTTGTTTTTTAAACACGCTTGGGTCATTTTTTGCACTATAAGCTCGTGCCAAGTCCTGCTGAGAGGTCCCATCGATTCCGTTGAATTGAATTTCACTTAGTGGATGTACCACGGACTCAAAAACATATTTCAAGAAATTTTATCCCCCCACGTTCCCCCCATTTTCGACAAAATGTAGAGGAATTGCCCCAATTTGCTCCCACCTGCGAAAACCATGACAAAACCTGGATAATATGACTTTTTTACCTTTTGTCTGTATTGGGGGATGTCTTTGACCGATTTTGCGTAGATTATGGCATTTTGTTTGTTAAAAAACTCTACCGATGTGAAAATCTCTTCATCTGTAAAAAAAAATCCTCTTCACTTTTTTGGTTCGTACCGCTTGAGGAGAGCCCTTGATTTCTTTAGTAGGGCTTTGTTTGTGGGAATCATCAAGAGGTGTCAAGTACCACATTTCAAAGCCTTAAGCCTAAGGTTCAGTTTGAGTACTCGTTGGAAAATCCGCGTCAACAATGTCAGCTGTGAGGCTATTTTCCGTTGGAATTTCGAGAATTTCTTCGGATTCTGTCCTTCAGCGCCTTCACGATGGGTGTGGTCCTTGTAGGTTTTCCAAAAAATTTTCTTCGACTGTTCTTAGTCGACCCGGTCCCCATGAACATTTCTATACTCCGCTGGGCCAAATTAAAATGCACGTTCGATTCCTGTCACATTTTTAAAATTCGCCATTTCTCTTTCCATTTGTGTAGTGCACAATTATTGCCACCTACTTCCTTTCAATAATTTTCATGCTAATCTGCTTTTCAAGTGGTCAAAAACTGATATGTGTAACTTATGTAAAATCGCACGAGCAATCCAATGCACTTATCAGATTTTCATTATCTCCAACGGTTTTAAAGTTTTTAGCTATTAACACTTAGCCTGCCCCCACTAAGTATTTTTGTATGCCTACCAAAACCTGTTATTATCGGGAGTTGTATTTTAAACAATACAATTACATAACACATTCCGTACCCTTATTTTCCTCACAGGTGACTTTCACAAATCACTGTCAGTGATTCATATTTTTATGTATGTATGCAGAACACCAGGTTCAACGTTGACCACTGGTTATGAGACGACGTTAGACTGAATTCCATGAATTAGTTGTCACTCTGTCAGTTTATGTAATGTATGTTTACATAAACTGAAGGGGAGCATACAATAATGCATTCATAATATGTACATACATACATACATCGTACATACATTGTATGCCCCCTTCAAGATATTTTCATTTCTTTAACTCCACTCTACTCGCGTAAAGTTATACACACTTATTTATTTAAATGCATATACATACATACATACACATATGTATGAACACACTCAAGATATCTTTAGAGTATCCATCTAATGTATGTATGTACATGAAAATGAGATGAACAAAATAAAGGCACCTTTTCCTCCAGAATTTGAAGGCCTTGTTCCTTATGACTCAAAGCACGTTGCATGCATACCCTTTTATTCAACCCTGAGGGTAGTTTACTTATTTTAGACCCGTTCATTGTCCCTTCACTTCTGTAGTTTTTCTATTCTTCATCAGCCTAATAACACTTCTTAACTCGCCAAAAATCAAGATCGTTAATATCGGAATCAAGTTTCTAAATATCTCCTACTATCCTTATTAAAATGGCTAATTTTGTACCTCCTGCTGAACAATCTCCACAATCACAAACTAAATGGGAATATGATGCTCCCTTAAAAAGCGGATGAGCCCTTTGTTCGAATCTCGCGAGTGGACTGACCTAACATTAGTTCTACACGGAGAAAACGATGTCGTCCTTGAAGAGGTGGGTATATTTTGCATGTCGAAACAAATTATGTATGTACATAAATAAGTATAACTCGTGACGTTAATTAATTCCAGGTACCCGTCCACAAACTCATTCTGCAAGCCGGGTCATCCATATTTAATAGAAAAATAACCCCCGAAGTCCTCTCTACCGGAAAGTTGCGAGTGGATAATGTAGATCCCAAAATATTCAAGTTGATGATATCAGTAAGACAAGAAATCTATTTTTCGCGTAACGAAGAATTCATTGACCATGTTTTTTATAATTCAAGTACTTGTACACCGGAAATGCTGCCCCGAGCATATTAGACGCCATTCCGCTGCAAAAGCTGGCGACTGAATATGGCCTCCCATACTTGACACAAATCTGCAAAGATGTCCTACAAGGCGAGGTAACAGAGGACAATGCCCTCGCACTATTTGAAGCAGGAATGGCATTTGCGGACGATGACCTGATCAAATCCTCACTTCAGTTTATTTGCAAGTTAGTCTGTCAATTAAAATTGTTATCTGATTTGAATGTAAAATATTTAATTCCTCTCAAATTTTCAGAAATGCACAAAGAATTTTGAAGAGGAAGGATTTTGCCGAACTCAGGATGGAATGCTTGATTGAAATTATTCAAGAGAATGAACTCCAAGTTGTGAATGAAATGGAAGTTTTCGACGCAGTTTATCGGTAATTAAGTATAAAATCTACCTAATTATATATAGGGCACCAAGTTAATCTTCGCATATTTATCTTGCAAATTTTATGCAGCAAGATAAGTTAGAAAGTTTTGCTAGATTTTGCTGAAAAACGACGCATTTTTTTTCGCAAGTTTACACAGCAAATTGACATGCTTGAAAATATTTGTAAACTCATCCTGCCCATCACCAAAAGGAGATATTACAGAAAAACATGGAAATAACATAAAAATAGGTATTTTTAGAAATAGGCTTGCGAGATTTGAGAGATTTACGAAATCAAATTTTGCGAATCCACTCAGTATACCTACAATTTATTGAGCTTCTCAAATTTGCTAAATGAATTGCGATGCGAAATTATAGGTTTTCGTGAGTGAGTAGGCTCATAATTAAATGCGAGTTTAGGATTGAAATTAATTCATTCATTAATTGAGCAGGTGGGGTGAGGCGGAATGCATCCGGCAAAAGTTGGACATTACGGATAAAAAAGTCTTCCGAAAAATTATATCCAAACCACTGACAAGTGTCCGATTTCCATTAATGGACTCGGAACGTGTGTCGCCCTCCTGATTTGCTTCCTCGTTCCACCAGAGAAACGGTAATTAAAAAAAATATAGTGTTTATTTCGTATTTCACATATACATACATGTGTATAAATTCAACTCAAATTGTAATCTTCTTCTAGAAGTTCCATTCCACACGGGAGGTTTTCATCCTCGCCGAGATCTTGGCTTCTACCGGAGATGGAAAGATCCTTGGCAAATAATTCGGATCAGTTAAGACCCCCCGTTCCTTACTACCCAGACGTGGTGTACCCTCTTCCTCCCAGATTTTCCAATCCCACGGCCACCCCACCTGCTTACGTCAGAAATTCGTACGAACCACTATCCACTTCCGTACCCCCCAACGCACATTTGCAACCCTGGTCGGCTTCACCACAACCACAACCAATGAGACCAAATTTGACGCAGAGACTTGAACAACATCGTCCCATGGGAGATTTCCATTTCTCTTCATTTCATGATCATCGTAACAATTACTTTCAATAGATAAATCATCAATGAATCACGAAATCATAATTTTATGTACTCATTGAATGAACTAAACTGAGGCAAGTTTTCCATTCTTTTACTCATAAAATGTATGACTTTTTTTGGATTATTTTACATAATCCTGGGTGTTATTTATATACATAAATATACACGTGTAAATATGTAGTAGTCAGCCGAAGTATTCTTGCATGCATTTAATTTTACGCATGTACATATTTATTAAATTTTTAGCAGGCTGAAACGAAGGTTTTATTTTAAGCGTAAAAGTTCGAAGTTAAGTATAATAAATACCTATGTACATACATACGTAGTTGCACTTTTGGCTGGAAATGGGGACGCTACAATTTTACAAAAATTTGCATTTTAGTTCTTGGATTGAATTTGATTTCATGTGTGCATACATTAGTAAAAAATAAATAATAATGATTAATTTTAAGTGGAAAATCAGAGCTAAATACGACTCAAAATAACTTTGTATGTACATACTTACATACGCCAATTTGAGAATATGCACATTGCTGCTAAAAATAATTGGAAAATGTAGCAAAGGTTTACAAAGTGGTGGCGGACCTCAATTTAAACCAATCAACGACAAATCATCAATTTTTTACGATTTGACATAAATTTTAATTTTAACTATGAGAATTTTACACACGCAGTTTTGCGAATACTTTAATTAATTTGAAGTTGGTCACATTTTTAAGATTTAGATAACAACTTGTGCTTCCAAGGCACACCAATCTCTAAAAATTTCTTCCATTCCATCATTAACAAACCGGTTAATGTCAACTCTTCTCAACGTCATTCTTATATTTACAGTATCGCTAAATAAATTATGATCACCAGCCGAACTCAACAACCTCGCAATGAGTATAATGACACCCACAACAACTTAACGACTTTTTAATTAATAATATTTCTCCTGTTGCACCTTAATGCACTTTTTCCAGATTTCTTAATGAATCCAATTAGCCCTCCAGCTCTGTATAAATATCCAGGCACAGAGGCTTATTTACATATTTTACCTGCACCACCACAGTTGTTAGGAAGGTATATAAGTACGTACGGTCAGAAATTTAAACTTCTTCGGAAATGTTGACAAATACATTTCTCACGGGTGCAGCCACTATTCAGCTTATCCTCTCTTATTATGCCAACTACTACAACCAAACCGACCTTGCTGCTACATTGGAAGAGATGAAGCCGGATTTTGGACTGCCCAAAATTGAAATTTTTGATTTCGTTATAGGTACAAATAAAAATTAAGAATTTTGAAAAGTACATATGACATGCTAAATTTAAATTATTCTTGCAGTCGGTGGTGGCACGGCGGGATGTTTATTGGCGTCACGACTTTCTGAACGGTACACAGTCCTCCTACTGGAAAGGGGAGGTCCACCCCCACCCCCGACTAAGAATCCGTATTACGGTTATCAGATTGAACAACATCCCGGCTTCAATGATCACTTCTCGTCAACTCCGCAGAAAGGAATTAAGGGGGCGGATGGAGGGGTAAGATGAGACATAATTACGAGTATAGTAACATTATAATTTGGGTAGGTGTATGCACGTCCAATATTTCCTGCGAAAGTTCCCACTGCAAGAAATAGGCGTAAAAAAGTATTCTAACTTGCAAGAAATGCAAGGCGCAAGAAATTAAAGAAACCATCGCTATATTTCATAGGACGCGTCGCTAGATGGCGCATATTCGCTTCACTTTCTTGCACCATGAATTATTGCATTTCTTGTTTTGTAGTGCAAGAAATGTAGCAAAACCACAAAAAACTAAACACACCACTAATTAAAACTTGCATAACTTTCGAAATTTACTATTTCAGCTAAAACCGTTTTTTTGTAAAATTGCATGCCTTATCGAAATTTTGTACGATTTTTTGTACGATTAAAGAACTCCCGACATTTGAAACCGTTACAGTTAAATAACGTCACCACGGGGCGCATGCTTGGCGGATCTGGCTCCCATAACGGCAATATTTACAACCGAGGTTCCCCCCACGATTACGACAATTACGCCAAACTCTTCAACGACGAGAGTTGGAAGTACGAAAACATTCTGAAGTATTACAAGCGGTTTGAGTCCTTTGGAGGAATTGTTTTTGGAGATCAGAATATTACGCGGAGTGGTAAATGCATCAGTGAATTTTTAAGGAACAAGTTTATGAAAACATTTTGAGAAATAATTACCGTAAAAATTTAGACTATTTTGGTCAAAGTGGTCCAATCCATGTGGAAACTAACCTTCCACCAATTCTGCCCACGTGGTTTCAAGCAGGGATTGAACTCGGGTATAAGGTTCAAGATCCTAACGCATTGCAGGAAGAATGTAAGAAAATATATTTCTTAAAGAATTTTCCACCCAGTTTAATAATTTCTCACCCAACAGCGTTCACCCCGATGGTTAAATCTGCCAAGAATGGGAGGAGATCGAGCACTTACACCGGCTACTTGAAAAAAATCATGGGGACCAGATCCAACTTGAGGGTTCTCATGTACTCTGATGTCGACGAGGTTAAGAAATAGTTACAATTTAAAACACTGCACAATTGACGAGTTCACATTGCACACTCGTACTTAGAAATGCAGTATTAAAATAACACCAAGCGGTGTTCATACATGGCTCTACCAATGAGGTTTATTGATACCGCGTAGTAATAGTCTGGTATTAAAGTTTTTCTACATTGGTGGCAAATTTTGAAGGACCGGTATAATTTTAATACCAAGCGGTAGCAACTTTAATACCGAGAAATCAATACCTGCGTGACTATACCAGATTTCTGGCAATGTAGCAAGATTTTGTTTTGACAAACTTGAAATATTTAAACCTGTGTGCCTCACCAAAAATCTGGGTTAACATGACTTCCTCGTTAGTTCATCTCATGCATATTTTAATTTGACGATAGGTGCTCATCAACGAGAACAAAACGGCGTACGGAGTAGTCTACAAGCGTCACGGAATGCCCCAAATAGCCCACGCCTCAAAAGAAGTGATCCTGTCCCCGTCCACTTTCACCACGCCGATTATCCTTATTAAGAGCGGCGTCGGGCCGAAAGATGTCCTCCTTAAAGCGAAAGTAATTATATGATTATCCAAAATCTCATCTTACCCAGTAAAAAATTATGTAATTTCCCAGATTCCCGTGAAACACCATCTTCCCGGCGTCGGCAAAAACCTGCGCGACCATGCCGGCGTATTTCTCGAATTTACCGCCACCAATTCGTCCGACGAGCTTCTTCCCGTCGTTTCCGAAACCGGGTTGGAAAAAGAACTCTTAAAATTCCAAAGCGTCGAAAGTTCTGGTTTCTACTCGCGGAACGATCTTGGCCATGCGCAGGCCTTTTTCGTCTCCCAAGTCGCAAAGAAGCGTGGTCAAACGGGGTGGCCAGATATTCAAGTCGTGTTCAAACAGACGGCCCGCGTCGGCAAAAAGTCCCCCCAAAGGGTTACCATGCATGTAATTGTGAACCGGCTCGAATCCCAGGGCGAAGTCATTTTCGATACTGACAAGTACTTGCAAGGCGTTCGGGATGCGGTCGAATTGGCGAAAATTGACTATAACTTGTTAACTGATGAGGAGGACAGGCTCGTTTTGATGGAAGGTAATAAAAAATTAATTGGCTAACAAATTGAGCTAATTCGCTCAACTTTTGGTAATTCGGTAAACATTGCTTAGAAGCTTAGAAGCATTTACGTAAAAAAATGACCCCCTTTATATCTTTAAGGTGTTCGTAACCATGTAATTTATAAGGTTGCGAATATCCTTTGTAAGTGACTTATCGAATTCCTGTCCCACCTAAACTACTTATTTTTCTCTTTATGATTCACTAGTAAATTACATGGACACGATATTTATAGACAAGAGAAAAGTTACAAGAAATGATCTTCCGTAGAATACAAAAATTTATAGAGGCAGACCCGGCCGAGGAACGGAGGTACCGTTTACACAAAAGGTGTATTAACGGGGGTCCGGATTCGAGTCTGGGGAGGCCCATATATTTTTGCAATTTTTTAGTGACATGTCCATAACGAGTCACCTTATTTGCATATTTAAAGACATACCTAAGTATGCAAACCCGTCAGATTTAAGCAAATGAGGTATAGATTGCATACAAAAATCAGAGTCAATGAGTAACCTCGTTTAAATATTTCATTTCAGCTATCAACCACACCCTCAAAATCATGGAGGAGACCACCCCCATGCGAGCTTTGGGGATGAATTTTACCCAAGCGATTCCCTCCGTTTGTCAAACATTTCCATATCGGTCACCCGAATTCTGGACGTGTTACATGCAACAGATGGCCGGAAGTTGGTGGCATCAATCCGGAACATGTAAAATGGGACAAAAAAGTGACGAGTTTGCCGTCGTCGATTCAAAATTTAGGGTTTTCGGAATTAATAAATTGAGAGTGGTGGACGCATCCATTTATCCCGTTACCTTAAACGCCAACATCAACGCTGCCACGATTATGATTGCGGAAAAGGCAGCAGAAGATTTATTCAACGAGTACGCATCTTAAATGAGTTTGAAACAAAAATTCTATTAGAAAAAATGATACTCGGGAATTTAATAGCTGGACAAATTTACTGAAGAAGAGAAGTTATAAAACCAATAAAAAATATTTACAAATTAGACGGAAGAAATATATATTTATTTTTTCAAACTGAATTATTTTTCATATTGAAGGCAAAAAAGTAGTTCAATGGGCAACATTCAACAGTGTATACATTCAACTTTTTCAAAACGTTATCAATATTTTTCTCTCGAAATGCGACTATATAAAAAGTCATAAATAATTATGCAAGTCCGAAATAATTATGCAAATGCAAATCTATGCAATGTCAAAATATAACTAATTTTCTGCATGAAAACCCATATGTATTGATTTAACAAAATGTACATAGTACTCGCTAAAGTGATGTTATAAGATTTCCCGGGTAAATTAAGCAGGCAAGACAATTTTTTAGAAAGTTCTACAATTTTTTATTGAAATCTCCATGCAATTGTCCGTTAGAAACCATGTTTCGAAAACTTTTGTGACCCAAGGTGCCGAAATGGCAGATAGGCAAACATGGCGTGTTTAAATTTTTCAGCAACATTTGAGCGAATAAAAAAGTTCGACATTTTCTAATTGCTCGACAAAAATCGGAATTAATTGGAAGGTGGTCGACCGTACCATAAAATGATGCATTGACCCTGTCAGTGTCGACAACCGAGAAAGAAGTGAAAGGGAACGATTACAAAGGTCACCAAAATTCACCAAGGCGCGAAAAAACTGGATTCGCCAAAATCCATGCCGAGCCCTAAGAAAATTTACCTCGCAAATGAACGGATCAAGTAAGACAAAGTCCCGGGCCCTTAAACTAAACCTTAGACTTATGTCTTCAAGACATGAGGAGAAACACTTCCTAACTACACGCCAGGTAAAAAGGGACCCATCAGAACCCTGGCGCTGATCATGTGGTACGCGGTTGAAAAATCGAAACAGATATTTTAAAAAATGAGCCCACCTTTATGGGTGAGGTCAAATAAAATAGCAAAAATGCCGTCTTTGCACCCCACCAGTCTAGGCTATTCATAAAAATTTCAAAAATTTTGATGGGACCCACCATCCTACTTTTATGATTTTTTTATTGGGCTTAAATCGGATTGGGTCGAAAACGTGATTTTTCTTACAAAGGGGGTGAAATTGCGACTCAGAAATTGTTTTTTCATGTTATCGAGCGAATTGTGTGACTAATGAACCTATACCTATTCAAAAATAGCGTCCTGACATCCAAGCAGGGTTCAGATCCTTTTCACGAGGCCAAGATAGTAATTGGGTGGTTAAAATCCTAAATTCGTGACGCCAATTCCGTCCAAGAAAAAAATTCACTGTTGCCGAACCTAAACCTGCAGGACTATGACATATTTTTCTAACTTTAGCTGGATGTACGTGCTGAACTTCACACAAGTTTCGAATCCATAAAAAATTCTGTCGACAGGATATGGGGCCAATCTCCCCTGGAACGCATGCGTACTCCGATCGAGTGGTGGAAACGAAGACGCCGGGCTCGCCTAGCCTTACAAGACTGACATTTTAAAAAGTGAATAGTGTTTCTTATATAGAATTTCACTGGCTTTTCAGTGATGTAATTAGTTTTTCGAAATTCGATAAACTGGTTTCGCTACAGTGAGTTTTATAACAGAACTTTTGCGAGTACTATGTATGTATATATGTATTTACTATTTGCACAAACACATCAGATTAAGTACATCACAAAATGCATGCCAATTATAGTATGGCTAATGCTATAATTAATTTTAGCTAATCAATGAATATAAACTATATTTATAATTCTTGAATTTTGCATATTATGCACAGTCCCAAAGGAATAATCATTAAGTGAAGACGACGCGGCAAATTAGAAGCCATTGATTCGCATACACGACATCTGTTCTGGAAAAGAAAAATTTTTGAATATTAATTAAAAAGAAAGACTAAACACTTGGTTAATTGCTTTTGCCTTCTATAAATTAATTGACATTACTCAAATCAGAACACGGATTAACAGTTAATCATTAACTTCAAACATTAGTAAGTCGCCATAAAATATTCGGGTATTTTAATTTGTAATTTGCAAAATCCAAAATCCAAATGTATACCTCTCAAATTCTTCAAAATAGGAAAATTCCTGACATGGAATCTCAAGGGAAACAAACCGCAGTAGAGATCGCACTAAATAATCCGATGGTTTGCCAAATAACTGTATAATAATTTTGGTAATTACGAATTTAAAAGTACAAATACTTTGCAAACTTTCAGATTTTAACAGAAATATTGCAACGGAGGTCCACCCCATTGAAAGATTGTCGACTAGTTTGTCACTTTTGGAACGACATGGTCCTCAACCTCCCAAATACGAGACTCGCGTTACGACCGGTGAAGAAGGACAAAAACAGACATATTTTAAACGATCCGTTTCCCTTCTTCGCGACATGTTTCGCATTGGATGATCGACTGGCGAAACAGATCAGCGCCACGTGTTCCACGGATTTGGCCGACCCCACCCGATGCATTGACTCCTTTGCCACCACACTCATGCACACATGTGACAAATTTAGCGACCTCGTCCAAATTTTGGAGATTTCGGTCGACTATGAAGAATGTCTAAAGACAGTGTATCAAGTTTTGAGAAATTGTTGCCCAAATTTGAAGCAGTTGCGAATTGGATTTACTTTTAGCCCATATAGGAGGAAAAGGAGTCGCGGGTGCGAAATTCTGCCGGAACCGCTGCCTGAACCAAAATCAAATTTGACCTTGTTGGCAGTCAGTTCGAACCGGGTGACCCCATTTCTCACCAATCTGATTAAGGTGATTGTCGCTGCCTCGCCGAACTTGAGGAATGTCACTCTTCCGTGGGGATTCTTTCCAGATTTTGCAAATTCTAAGCGTCTCGACACATTACTGATCGTATTAGATGGCCCTCAAATAATTGATATCGCCCGAGAAGACGGCAACCTGTCGGAACTCTCACGAATATTGGCTCAAGTCGGTGATCAACTGGTCAGGTTGACTTTCTGTGATTACTTAAGGAAGGAAGATGTACTCCTAATAGATTTTGGGAACTTGAATCCAACCGGATTCCGATTGCCGACAAGAAAGATGTTGAAATTAAAAAAGTTTAGGAACCAGATGGCTGACATTTTTCAGTGCGACGATCTCTTGCGGAATATCGAAAGTCTGCCCGTCCTGGAAACGTTGGTAATTGGAAAGGTGTCGATAAAGTCGAACTGTGTGGATGAAATTTTGCGAAACATTTTTCACTCGGGCAAGATTTTCCAAACCATGAAGAACTTGAAGATTTTCGAGATGCATGAACCCACACTTTTGGATGGACTGAAGACAGCTTTTCCCAACTTGGAGAGCTTGGAGGTGAAAACGTTTAGCAGGACGGATTTCCGCGGAGACGTGAGTCGGATGGAGTTGAGCGTGGTACTCGACGCATTTGGGCGATGGGAGGGTTTAAAACGCTTGCTTTTGAGGGTGACGGTATTTCCAGACAAACTGGTTAATGTGATCCGGGCTCTGTTGGAGGGCAAAGAATTGTATAAAGGCGAGTGTAAAGTATTCCATTATGAGAAAGTTTCTGAACATATTTTAACCAATTTTTATGTAAACTTTTTCAGAGCTTAAAATGTTTGAAACTGGAATTTTGAAATTTGAAAACAATGTTACGAGACACGAGCTGACAACGGAGGAGATGGATCTGTTTAAACAATTGCTCTTGGCGATGAATAGAATGAACAAGGTTATCATTCACAATCTTCCCGTAAGTTGTTTCACTGTGTATGATTTAATTCGTTAGTAACGAATCGTTACTATTGATTAATCTTGTTGGTAAATATGATTTACATAATTTGATTGATTTTGCTTCCAGTTGGGTGAAGAATCTCTAAAAACTATATCAGATTTTATGGTGTCAAACAAATTGGCCGTGCCAAAGTTTAGGATATCTAAAGGGGGATCGACGAGGTTTGGAATAGGAATTTGATTTTCTGCTCAGAATCGACGAAACTAGGGATTTTGGTTTATATGGATTATCATTATCAAAATTTATGGCTTTGTGAGGTTTACGCAAATATGTGGGTGTGTTTATGGATAAATTTTTTGTATGTTCAAAGTTGGTACATAAATCTGACTCTTTATAAAAATATATTTTTTACAGATTGTATTATTTTCATTATATTAGTTCGCTGTTTATCGCCTCATGACAGATAAAAACACCCTACAAATTTATAACTTGCTTTATTCTATCCAGAGTTCTAGAAATGTCACTGTCCTGTAAGACGTGCATGTAGTTTTACAGATTGAAGGGCATAATTTTCTAAAAAAAAGGTCACTGATGGCCGCTAACTAAAAATGACCCAGGTTTTAAAGTCACCTCTGATTTGATCTTAAATGTTTCCGTGATGCCGATGTCACTGAAGAAACTAGTGGTTCTCAAAATTCCCAAGTTATTTCGGTAGTAGACTAGAGAGATGAATGCGAATCGTTTAATATTAATTAAATAGTTAAGTGCATTATCTGCATTTTAAATAAATCCATATGTACATATGCACGAAGAGACTATGTATGTATGTATGTATGTATGTATCTACAACTAAATATGTAATCTAAGTTCGAATTTCTCCGTCATTCCATTAGTAATTTCGTGTGGCAATTACACGTGCAATTATCTCTTTATGTATGTATGTACATATGCTTGCACAGTTGACAGTACCGTTCACTTTTAATTATTTGTCTATTAAGAGGGACTACCAGTAAACAAACGGTCTGAACTGAACAACGAAATTTCATGACAGTCAGGTTTATCTTTACCACCTTTACCAGTATTTACTTCCTTGCATCCATACCGAATGCTCAGCAAAACTACCTATTCAATATCCATTTATCTAATTTCTATTTCGATTGCCAATAAATTAAATTGCGCAATAAAACTAAAATTGAATCAATTTGGTAAAACGAAACCAAATATACATATTCCAATTATTTGTACTTATGTATATACTTATTTACAAGACTAGGTTTTTAGTACAAGTTTGTAATTAAATACGTATTTGCTAAAACCCTCATCCTCGAACTAACATATCCTCCGACATATGCACTAGTAAAATTGTACTTGTTTCAACTAGAGTCATGTTTTCTAAAGAGATTTTCGAAATAGTGTCACGTCCAATAAAATTTCTCGAGTGGACAAAAGTGTTCCCGTTTTCATGGGACGAGAAAAGAAATAATTTGATACTGACAGCTTCACGGGTTTACTCGTTCTGTTCCTATGTCTACTTTGTCCATTACGCGCTTCTCATTTGGTATTTGCTGGACAAACTTGGACAAGAACTCCGGAACGAATCTAGTGTTTTGCACGTGATGGAAATTTTCTGGCTGGCCTTTCTCCCAGGCGGATACTACTTATGTAGCGACGCTTTGGTCGGACTGTTCTTGAAGAGGGGCAAAATGGTCACGTTTTTCAGATGGATCACACAATTCGACAAAGTTTTACTTCGTACGCGTTTAAATGTTGATAAAATAAGAGCGATTTAAGTTAATTTTAATTATCAACTTTGTACCTTTCACTTTTTCTATGCTTTTTTTGTAGACATACAAGGACCACACTATTTAAACCGGAAGTGGTTTCATGAACGCTTGGCGATGTTAATTATCCAGGCAGGAATCTGGTCTACCATCACGGCGGATATATTATGGATCCTTGTATACACTTTGAAACCTCGGTCAGCCCAGTACCCGTATAGCGATTGGTCAAACGAGGGGAAGCCATGTATCTTAAATGTCATTGCATTCCTGGCTTTCTGGGCGTTTGAATTTTTTACTAAAACTGTCAATATTTCGGCGTATTTTTTCTCCCACACGTGGTTTTTGCTGTCCATTACGTATTTGATTGTTGGGATGGGAACAGTCAGGTATTTAATTAATAGGCAGTTATTTAGTAAACCTACGTCTTTAAGACCGTCACTTTCATTGTCTTTCAAGTTTGGTCAAAATTTCCGGAGACAATATGAAAATGCTCAGATTACTCTCAAGTGATTTCAAAATCGGCTCCGGAAATTTTGATACAACTCGAGAGATAAGGAGAGTTACGGAAATTTTCACATGTTTTTTAACACCTCGGTTACATGATGAAGACCGAATTTATTTTAATTCCAGCAAGTCAACTGATTCTCTACGTCACAAATTGTCCAATTACCGAGGACTATATTTGATCAACGTTTTATACAATGAATGCTATCATGCGACCCTTCTTCCCTGCAGATACTTGCTAAATGCATTTGGAATTATTTCATCAGGATTTATACTGACACGTTTCCAAGCCAAAATCTCATTTCCCGATCAAGTCTTGTGTTTAACGACGTTTGTTGCCATGTTGGCCGCACCACTGGTCTACTTGCACATTTCTGGAATGGTGCTGGCTAAAAGTATCGCACTTTGCGGAAAGTTGGGCAGATTTTCGGGTGAAAGATGTACTCGAAAGGAGATGCAAGTATTGCGAAGAGATGCAAGATCGATTCAGCCGTTCGGAATACGGGTCGGGTCAATTAAATCGACCAGTTATGCGGCATTGAGTGCATTCCTGATTCAGACTACTAGTTTATTTACAACTGTATTGGTTACATTTCCACAAAAGGGATAATTTTAGAGTACGGATATAACAAATTTAGTGCAATTTGTAAGCCAATTAAATACCTTCTACACCAAATACAATTGCTGTTTGCTTTTATAATCCTAAGTGAATGTAGCTAATATGTATCCATGGGGAACTCCACTCTACGTAGCTGCCGAAATTAAGCGTCGTATGTGTTTGTTAAATTATAAGAAACGAGATAAGTTAACGCATAATGACGAATTATTCCTCAGAAAAATGTTGATACATTTGTAGTGATTTTGATGTGGAAATCAAAATTCAAAAAAGGAAGTATTTGACAGAATCGTGCCATGTTACACTGTTACATACGTGTGTAAATATGTAAATACATACATATGTAAGTAGGTATTTGTGTAATATATGAAGCCCTTAATTTGGGTATCTGTGTACGGAGAATTGAGTCTACTCCCACTCCTTGTAATTACCATATTGGTGTATGTACATATGTAAGTATGTATGTATGTACATACTGACATGTAAATATACTATGCATACCTAGGTAAATTATTGCACCACGAATACCACAATACCAAAGTCTTTTGAGTTACGAAAGTATATCATGCATGCGAATACCTGTGATGGACCAAAGTCAATAAAATATAACTTCATTCTTACCGAATTAAGCAAGTTTAATGACGTTTTTGATTAATCAAGTCATATTTCTCAAATAGTATTGACTTGAAAAACTTGAAAATGGGCCATCAAATTTTTATGCGGCAGGTTTTGGTCATAACTTATGAAACGTTTCATTAGCTTATTCAAAATGGTTTATAAAAGCAATTATGACTTATTGAGTTAATATCCTCAATTTTGGTTTGGGCTACAAAAATGTTATCATTCTTTAGGCAACTCTTTAATTGATCATATTACATACGAAAATATACATTTCAATCCTAAATCGAAGCACACCAGTAAAACTTGCTCCCCTCAATTATTTCGCCTCTGTTTTTCATGTTTCTGCAGAGAAATTTTTAAAATCAGGTCAGAAATGTACTCCAAAATTGGCCTACGATTGATCCGCATCTCTTTCCTCCCATCTGCTCTTTTAGCAACTAATAGTATTCGATTTAATCCTAAAACCAAGACGTTTTACACTACGCAATTCTCCTCCAGAAAACTATTACTTGGTTCAACCCTTTTAATTTGCTTCGCCGTCTTCGTATTCTGGCGAACAATTCAAATATTTTTGTGGCGAGGGGGAAAATCAAATCCATATTTTCATATTTGCTACGCGTTCTCATTCACGTTTCTGATAGGTTCAAGCTCGTTAATATATTTGAATGTGTATCAGAAGAGCATCTGCCAAGTTCAGACTCAAATGGTGCGATATTGCTGTCAGTTTGAAGGTGATTAACTTTCCTGAGTCCGATTATGAAATTTTAAAAAATATATTTTTTCAGTGTTTAGTTTCTTGATAGTTTGCTACATTTCTTGCACTGCAAACAGATTACGCAAGAAATGCGGGGTGCAGGAAACTGCAAGAAAGTGCAAGAAATATGCGCCATCTAGCGACAAAGCGGAAAGTAGTTTCTTGCGCCTTGCATTTCTTGCCGGTCAAAATACCCGTAAAACACCATTTTCTTGCGGTTATATGTTTCACAAATGTTTATTTTCACCCGAAATACATGTTTCCATTTGTTTAACAGACCTTTGGATGAGGAACTACGACCCGAGGAGATCCTTAACGGGAGCGTTACTTGATGGCCTGCTCTTGTCTAGCATAATATCCTTTTCAGTTATCCCGTTGGGGAGCATTTTTCACTACTTCGTTTATCCGGAAACGCCGATCTACTTCACGACCGTGCTCCCCGCCATGGAGGACCTTGACATTTACATTCAGTGGAGTCAGGCAATTTTTGTGATTTATTACTGCTACGCATTCTGGCAACATTCCATGATCATTTGTATTCTTGGATTTCTTTATGTATGTAAGTTTTTAGGGTATCAGGTGAATGCAAATGGCATTTAAATGTGAAACTATGCGGGTATTCGTTACAAATCGGCTTCGTTAGTACCGTTCGAAAAAAATTCACAAGTTCGCAAAAAAATTGGCTTGATAATTAGATAATTTGAGAACTTGTGCATTTCCAAAGCCAATAAGTATGTAGTTCACAATTTTTTGTTCAAAATTACATTGTAATGCGAATATGAATACCCCATTTGCCATTTCGATAGTTAGTTGTGGCTTAATTAGCATATTTTTTTGTCGCCTAGTTTCAATTCTACCCCTTCTGCATTGTGAGTTTCGTGTGGGTGCAAAGAATCAGAAGTCGTCCCAACATTTGAGGTCAGGGCGGGTACTTCCGTTCGAGTACAGGTAACGATATACTTTTGACTAAATTATGAGTGACGCATTGTAAATTAGTATAAGATAGAACTTCAGCGATATACATATGTATGTACTAATTGACAATTAATGCCTTATTAAGTATGTATGAAAGCAAAGAATTGCAAAATTTATGCAAATTGCCCTGTATTTTTTGTCAGATGTTTGGAA